GAGCAAACTGAATCCCACATAGGATAAATAAAAGAGAATTCTACTGAAAAAAAATCGACAGAATAAAAAAAAGAACTCTACTGACAAACAAAATAAATATCGAACCTATGTGCTGAGAAGCAAAGTGGACAGATTGAAAAATTAAAGAAGTCGACTGGCGAACAAAATAAACTCTATTGACAAGCAAATTTTGCTTTCAAAAAAATATAAATAGAACTCTACTGACGAGCAAGTTCGACTTTATAAAAGAAGCAAATAGGACTCTACTGGCAAGCAAACTGAATCTCAGAGCCTTTGAATTAAACTCTACCGACAAATTGAAAGAAAAGGATCTCTACCGACGAGCAAAATTGATTTAGAATGAACGTAAACGACTATACGAGTACAATATAATTAAGAAGATTTGTACTACGATGCAACTTTAAAATGTTTATTTATCTATGCCGATTTCCTTGTTAATATCGGTACGCACACAACGACACATCTCTATTCACGCGACACGATAACTAATCACAATCGACCCGTATAGAAATGATATCATCGAAAGCGAATGACTTTCACTTGACCTTGCCGTAACAATTTCCGTTGCATTTGTACGGATTTACACCCTAGTCGAACGAATGTTTGTTTGAAGTATCTTTTATTATCTACCTTGCTCAAAGAATTGAAGAACGAGTCCAGAGCAATTTGTCCAGTCGGCAGAGCCGCACTCAGGGCCCCTGAAAGCGCCAATAATTCCTGGCAAGTCATCGCAGCTTCACCCAAGTGCAAATCAGGACACTCAGCAATCGCAGACTGTTGAATTTGGGACGTCGTACTTTGCAGAGGCATTGGAACCTTAAAAACCAACCAAAATAAATTCTTGTACCAAAATGTAGACAGCAATCATTTACCATTACTTAATCATGAATCATTCTTCACTTATTTATTTTTTTAAGAGTTATCTTCATAAGCGTAAACAGTTTGTTTATTTTAATGGATTCTTGAGCAACATTGAAAATATCAGTTCAGGTGTTCCTCAAGGATCCATTCATGGTCCACTACTATTTATTATTTTTATTAATGACATATCTGATACTATTAACTGTCCACATTTATTATTTGCAGATGATCTCAAACTATTAGGTTGTCAAATATCTCCCTTCCGCTTTTTTGCTCTTGGTTTATGATACAAAAAGGCGGAAGGGAGATATTTGACAACCTATTATATCTCAAAATAAATTCTATTGATGACTGCTTATTATTACAGTCTCAACTTGACTCTTTCCACTCTTGGTGTATCTATAACAAATTACATTTAAATATATCAAAGTGCAAGATTCTTAGTTTTTCACATAAGCGCGTTCCAATACTTTTTGATTATAAAATTTCTAACACCAGCATGGATAGATGTAATAAAATTTTAGATTTAGAAGTTCTATTTGATTCTGGTTAGTTTTTCACGGATCATATAACTGATATTTGTAATGGAGCATACAAATCTTTAGGTTTGATACTGAGAAATTGTAAACAATTTAAATCTACCAATGCACTTCTTTGTATGTACTATTCTATTGTACGTTCAAAATTAGAATATGGTTCGATTATTTGGTATCCTCATCAAATCAACAACTCTGATTCGGTAGAGAGGTTCAGCGAAAATTTCTGAAATACCTTTATTATAAAACATATGAATTTACCCTGAACGTGGCTTTGACCACAACACTTTACTAAAAGAATTTGGTATTCCTTCCCTTGTCTCACGTCGATTTATCTGTACAATTATGTTTTTATTTAAACCTTGCAATAATTTTATAGACTGTCCTCTTATTCTAATCAACTATCCTTTATGTTCCAAGGCTATCTACGCGTTCACAATTATTTTTCAATTATCCTACTCCTAAATCTAATTCTCTCTTAAATTCGCCTATTTTACTTATGTCCTCTAACTTTAACTTAATTAATAATGAATATATATTCACAACACTTCACCTAATCAAATAATCTCCATCTGCACAAGTTAACTATTTTTTTTCTTTTCAAATATCTCATTATTTTATCTTATTCTGTTTATAAAATAATATTGTTACATTCTGCATTGTATGTAATTTTATGTAAAGCATTTTATGTTATTAACTATATATTGTAATTTTGTATATAAGGTTGTCAAATATCTCCCTTCCGCCTTCTTGTATTATAAACCAAGAGCAAAAAGCGGAAGGGAGATATTTGACAACCTAATAGATTGCAAAGTATTTGTTTGGTATTAATAGGATGTTAGACAAGTATGTTCAGATTCAATTCTTTTAAATTTTGTTTAATATTATGATGACCTACAGCAACTCGGTATACATTAAAATAAGCATTGAACGTCAAATGCATAAGTTGTGGGTTCAAATA